CACCACTCAAGTTCCACCTTCCAATCAACCTTGGTGAACTTGAAATTTGAATTCTTTTTCCAAACGATAAAGCTAATCAAACAGTCGATGAACTTTTTCTTTCTTGTAAAAACTTGAAAAATACGTACCTTGGCAAGCGATTTATTGTATCTTTCCATGTAGCCTGGGAACAGGTTAAGTCTTCCTTTTCTAGCAGCTTCAGAATTATTGTCCAAATACTTCCCCGATAAGGTTCCACCAGCCAGTGGGGAATAAGAAAGTAAGCCAATGTTACAGTTGTTTGGGTGGCATACTTCGACAAGATCAACTACAAAGAACAACCAAAACTCGTTATGCTAATTGGCAAATTAAACATGTTGATGCTTACTGTAAACACAATAATTCTATTTCTGTATTTGATTGTTTACTAGGTTATTTCATCACTTCTTTTATCAGTATAGGTTATTTTACTCTCTTTTCTTTATCAGTATTAGGTTATTTTATCACTTAAACATAAAGTCCTTTTTATCAGCATAATCCAAGTAGAAGTAGGTCCACAATTGATAACATGCCAATATAATTAAAAAAGAGCTCTTATAAAAAATAGACAATGTCATTTTGGAATGTATAATGTCAAAGTGGTCATTCATAAAAATAAGCTGATATATCTTGAGATAGCCAACAACTTTTAAATGCATTTAAACTACAATGGCAAGCAGAGTTCCCTGTTTCTTAAAGATTAGTAATGCTATTGTTAGGTAGATTGCCTCTATGAGAGTATTGACAGAAGCCATTAAGGATCTAACAGACTTAACCAGTAAATAATCACATTCCTAGAGACCCTAGCTCACCAATGTTGATGCAAGTATATGATTCGGGTATTTGAATATGTGCAAAAGTGGCTTAAGTCAGACCAGAGAATAAGATATCATGCAAGAGGAGATTTAGATGAGAATCAGTTCGCCAATATTCAGAAAAACCTTTAGAATGTGGTTTGTCTATTTCTTTATGAGGTACAGGCAGGTTACTACACGTGATTTGTGCAGCTGCCGCATGGATGACATCAATGTTTTTGTGAATGGGAAAATGTTCAAGATGTCTACTCATACAAGAATATTATAAGGGGAAGCTGTAAAGGAATAGGGGAGAAATGATTCAAGGTTATTTCATCACTTTTCTTTATCAGTATAGGTTAGTTTTAATAGGCAACTCATCACTTTTTTTATCAGTAAAGATTAATTTACTTGGTTACTTATCACTTTCGGACTAATATAGGTAATTTTACTTAAGGTCTTTTTTATCAACGTAATCCAAGTACAAGTGGACCTAAATTGATAAAACACCAATGTGAATTAAAAAGAGCTCTCATCAAAAGATGGAATAAATCATAATGTTAAATGTGATCTATCCTAAGAATAAGCTCATATATTTTGAGATAGTCAACAACTTTTAAAGGTAGATAAACTACCAAGCAGAGTCGTTGTATCTTAAGGATTAGCTATGCCATTTTTGTTAGGCGGATTGCCTCTGCAATGAGTATTGGCAGAAGCCATTAAGGATCCAATAAACTTATTCAGTAGATAGTCACATTCCTTAGAGACCCGAGCTTCCCTAATGTTAATGCAAGGATATGATTTGGGTATATGCATATGTGCAAAAGTGGCTTTAGCCAGATTAGAGAATAAGATATCATTGAAGAGATTAGAGTCTGAGATCAGAATCAGTTCAAAAAGATCCAAATGAATCATTAAAGGCAGTTTTCCATTTCTTTATGCGGTAAAGGCAAATGACTATGTGATTCGTGCAGCAATAGCACGGATGATAGCCGTGTTTATGTAATGGGAAACTGTTCGAGATGTCTACTCATACAAGAGTATCACTAGGGGCAACTGTAAAGCGAATTGGGAAAACTGGATTCTAATAGTCTGTTTAAGAGTTAAGCAAATAGGATTCGGTAATGTAAATACTAAATGAAAGAATTACCAACATATCTATTTGTAAGCGAGCTGTTAAAGAATCTTAACACTTAATAAGAAACCAATTAGCAAAGGGTAGAGTGTCCTAGGATTAAGCACCATGTACTCTTTAATTAATCATCATAGGAGTTCTTCTTTTTCATTTAACACTCTCCCAATCATGTAACCAAAGATTAACTTAAGTAAAGACTCCTAACAAAATAATTTACCCCATGAAGCATCTTGAATAACAAAAATGGATGTGCAGCAGAGATGTTTGTTTTCACACAGGAAGGGAGCTGTGTTACAGTCCCACATTAGTTGAGGATATGAGTTATAGTCTTGTTATATGGTCTTTGACAATCCTCACATCATAAGCTAGCTTTTGGGATTGACTTAGTTCCGGGGTCCCTTTTTCTTACGATGCTAGCAGAGACAGACCCATCCCTGATCTTGTTTACCAAAATGTTGAATCCTTATGTCATAATTTCCACGCTGTAGATGTTCAGCCATGAGTAGGGGAGGGAGGGGGTGTTAGAGTCCAAAATTGGTTAAAGATATAGATTGCAGCTTCTTTATATGGATTTGGACCATCCACACCCCATGAGCTAGCTGTTGAAAAGTGGACTCAGGATGCATTTTCCTAACAGGCTGAATGATAAATAAAGCTCGAACTTTGATGCCAGGTTGAAGAATTTGATCTTCCAAACTTAATTATTGACAACTATTGGAGTACCCTAACATCTTTGTCAAGCATCTTGGAATTATTCTCATCTAATGAATGTAGGAACTACTTTTATTATTGAACAAAGCAAAACATATCATCCAACTTATAGGACCTCCCAAAGTATGAACAGTATCATTGACAAAAATGGTGGAACACTCAAAATAACTGCGTAAGCTAAATTTCTGTTGAGAAGAGTTGCATCTAAACTACTTTAGTAGGACATGACAAAAGTTAACTTACCCTCAAAGTGACACCTAACCAGCAGACTGTAGCTATTCTGAATGCTGACAATCTTCGGCAGTCCTTCAACTTTTGCAGCATGGACGAACTCCATTACTCCATATGAAGTTTCATTGGAAACACCAATATAGCGGACCTGAATAGCTTGTACCCTTAAATGTTACTTCAAGCTAACTGTATTATAAAGTTAAATCTCCATAAAGCAAATTAATTTTGAGATTTTACGAAGCAAAATGAAAGCTCAAATTATTTTGCAAGATGTGCAACCAAGCCATGTGTAAAAGATTAGGCTTGTTTGTATTCACTATAAGCATTGCAAAATGTTTAAACTCAAACCATGCGTAAGAGTCCTGACTTGCTTATTCACTATGAGTTTTTTTTCATCCAAAAAGTTCAGTTTCCTGGCAAGCATATGTCCTGAATTTTCTTCACTTCAAGATGGATTTTATATAATCCTTCAGGAATGAATGAAAGATACCCTCGGCATTTAATTAGTAAAATGATAACTATAAAGCATCTTACTTCACTCATTTCATTGACAGGTCTGCAGTATTGCAATTGTTAAAAAAAGCAAGACATACATACCTTTCCTTCATCGATGAGTTCTTGAAAGGCTCTAAGCTGCTCGACGAAAGGCACACTTGGCCTCCATTTTGAAGATTCATAAAAGAATTCACCAAACAATGGTACATATCTATCTGGCCTGAAGAAGGTTTTTACATCAAAATTCCGAAATGAGAACCATCCTTTATTTTTTATGTGGGGGTGAATGTGTGCATTGAACATGCAGCGAACAAACAAATAGATGAAACAGATTAAAACACAAGGTAAGCTCATATTTCACAATTATATCAGACCTAAACAAGATAAGAATGAGAATCCACGAATTTATTAAGTCCTTGCAATATCAAGGTTACCTGATAAAATCTCTCAACTAAGGATGATTTATCACTTCATTGAGAAAGACTTCTAAAATTGATGAAACTTAAACAAGTTATTTATGTCAGTGGCTCAAGTCTATTGCACTTTGATGGGTCCATCATGGTCCATGATTTAAGGAAGATGTTTTTCTTCTTTTGACAAAGACTTCTAATGTCCGCAACTTCTTTTATAGATTTGGCCGTGGACGTTTTGATTTGTTCACATTGAAAAGTTTGAAGTTTCTATCTTTCATCATGGATGACATCTGCAAGAGTATTGAATTTCTATAAATAGAGAGCTCCTGAGTCATTTGTTAAACACACCAACAAAGAGAGAAAGAAAGAGCGAGGCATCACAGATAGGGTATAAGAAAATAGTCTGTGAGGAAAATAGAGAGAGTGGACGATATTGTAGTGAGGTGGGAATAACAAAAGAGGTAATTTCTTTGAGTGTTGTATTGATTTTTGGAGTATTTTACTCGGGCCTACAAAGTGTAAAATTTCTTGCTATAGTGATATCAGTTGCTCCTCTCGGGTTGTGGTTTTTCCTTATTCTTCCACATAAAAATCTTGGTGTCCTTGTTTCTCTTATTATTGCCGTTGATTACCGTATCTCGGTGCTACGTTATTATTTCGCCGTTATTTACTGTGAATATTAGTTTCTGTGGGAGGTTTATTCCAACACACAATATACAACATACTCTTTCTGATGCAAGTCAAGCTCTTGAAGGAACTGTTTAAGCCATCTCATCTCCTTGCCAGCTTCAGTAGCTGCAATATATTCCGCTTCAGTTGTAGAGAGTGCAACACACTTCTGCAACCTCGATTGCCATGATATAGCTCCCCCTGAAAATGTAAATAAATATCCAGTAGTGGATTATCTATTATCAATTTCACCTGCCATATCAACGTCTGTATAGCCCTTCAAGATTGGATCAGATCCTATAAAACACAAACAGTTTCCTATGGTACCTCTCAGTACCTTAGTATCCACTTGACTGCTTCCCAATATTCTTTTCCAGGGTTTTCAAGAAACCTGCTAACAACACCAACTACATGAGCAATATCAGGTCAGGCTTCCGACTGCTGAAGAATAAGGAACTCTAGCTATGCTCACTTTTTCCTCATTTGTTGTAGGACACATCTTCTTGCTCAACTTCAGATGACTAGCATGAGGTGTGCTGACTGGCTTAGCACTCTTCATGTTGAAGCATTCCAGTACACGTTCAATGTACTTCTCCTGAGATAGCCACAACTTTCTTCTTCGCTCTCGAACTATCTTCATTCCCAGAAATGGGTCATACCTTTCTTCTCTTCGAAACCTTTTACCACCAATCGAGCTTTGTATCTTACCAACTTGTCATTTCCATCTTTCTTGAGTTTAGAGACCCATTTGTATTTGAGTGGTCTTTTATCCTTTGGATGTTCAACCAGCTTGTACATGTTATTTTTCTGTAGAGATTTCATCTCTTCTTGTATGACTTTTATCCGCTGGTTCTTTTCTGGATGAGACAATACCTCCTTAAGACTTTCTGGCTCCCCTTCATCATTAATGAGGGCATACTCTGTGGATGGGTACCTGCATGACTCTACCCTCGGTCTTTCTGATCTCCTTGGAGGTTGAAGTTGTTCTTCTCCCTGAGTGGGGTACTACACTTGCTTGGTGTCATCATCAAGGTGCTCCCCCTGCTCAATAACCTCGGTTTCCCCCTGCTTGGAAACCTCACCGGTTCTACTTTCTGCACTTGTGGGATCAGTCTATGAAAAACGCTCGTTTCAACGCTTTAAGCGTGAAGCGAAGCGAGGCGGCTACTGTGTCGCTTTTGTAGGGTGAAGTGTAGCAGGTAAGTTAAAGCGTCCGCTTTTGTCAAAAAAGCGAGAAGCGACGGAAGCGCTCGCTTTTGTCTTTTAAGTCACCGATAAAAAAAAGCTCAGTCTTTTTTTTACAAAATCAGCAAGCAGTAGAGCAAGTAGCGACTAGGGTTTCAATTTTCAAACCCCGGTATGTTTGCAGCGACTAGGGTTTCAGTTTTCAAGCCCAGGTATGTCTTCTTCTTCTTCTTCGTTTCAGTCCTTAAAATTACAGCGAAATGCTGCCAATTTTTTTTTCCTTCAGTTTTTCATCTTTTGTTCTTAGTCTCACAGCCAATTTTTTTAGTATTGGCAGTTACATGTGTTGTATGCAGTTACATATGTGACATGTGTTGTATGCAGTTACATATGTGACATGTGTTGTCTATTCAGTATTTATTTTAATATTTTTCTTAATTCCATTTCACTTCAAAAAAGCGAGCGTTTCGCTTCTCGCTTCATGCTTTAAGCGAAAAGGGGCTTATCGTTTTTCCTCGCTTCACGCTCTTCATAACACTGTGTGGGATTGTTAGAAGTAGAAGGAATGGTAACAAGGTTAGGGGTTATACCATTTTTGCACTTCTCTGACTGATCATCTGCGGTTCCAACTTCACTTTCTCGGAAGATTACATCTCTACTTCTGATGACCTTTTTCTTCGCAGGATCCCATAATCTGTACCCGAACTCTTCATCTCCATATCTGATGAATATGCAGGGAACAGATTTATCATCCAGCTTTGTTCTCTGCTCCTTTGGTACATGTGCAAAATCTCTACAACCGAATACCTTCATATGTGAGAAGGACACCTCCTTGTTGGTCCAAACTCTCTTTGGGATGTCAAACTCCAATGGAACTGATGGACTCCTATTGATCAGGTAACAGGCTGTCTGACCTGCGTCACTCCAGAATGACTTAGGCAGTTTAGCTGTTCTGAGCATGCTTCTCACCTTCTCAACAATGGTGCGGTTCACTCTCTCAGCTACACTATTGTGTTGTGGGGTTTCAGGAACTGTCTTTTCATGCCTGATCCCATGGCTCGAACAGTACTCTTCGCTTTACCTTTCGACCCGTCTCCCTTTCCACCAGATCATTAAACTTCTGGAAAACTTGAAACACTTTATATTTGGTTTTCAAGATATAAACCCACAATTTTTGTGAAGCATCATCAATAAAAGTAATAAAATATTTGTTACCACCTATCGATTATATCTCCATTGGACCACAAACATCAAAATGTACCAAATCAAGCGATGTCTGAAGTGAGACTCTATGGGGTAGTGACAAGGTTTTACCGTTGTGCCTTTGGCAAAAGAGATGAGTGATTTCCTAGCAAGAATCTACAATCCCTTCTCGCTCATATGACCTATTTTATTGTGCCACAAATCTGCATAAATTTCATCTTGTGCCTCGTTCAATTCACCTCGGCATATTTCTGCATTTGTCCTGTACAAGGTGCCACGAGCAACTCCCTTTGCAATCACTAATGATCCCTTAGTGAGTCTCCATTTTGAATTGCAAAATAATTCTCGTATCCATCTCGGTCCAAAGCTATTCCCGAGATTAAGTTCATCCGCAAATTAGGTACATGTTGCACGTCCTTAAGAACCAATGTACATCTGACATTTGTCTTGATACAAATATCACCTATCCCTGCAATTTTTGCATAACTCGTGTTACTCATTCTCACAGTGCCAAAACCACCTGCTACATATCTGCAAAAAAATTCTCTTACCGGAGTGGCATGGTAAGATGACGCGGTGTCAACCACCCATTCCGATTCTGGAGCTACCAAGTGCATGCATTCCTCTTCCTCATTTATAAAGAGAACAATATTATCATTGTTCTGCACCATGACGGTTGTGTTGTCGTCATTTTTTTGGCCACTACTTTCACCTTTGCCCTTTCTTAGATTTGGGCAATCCCTTTTGAAGTGACCCGGTTGATCGCAATTGTAGCAATTTCTAGCTTTTGATTTGGATCGGTTCTTGGACTTCCCACGACCTCCGGATCTACCATAGTTGCTTGAACTCCTTTGATAACTCCTGCCTCTACCTTCTGTGATGAGAGCATGTCCTTGGTTTTCAGGCTTCTTTCTCATCTTCTCATTGAGTAGAAGAGCCGACGTGACATCCTTCAACTCCATAATGGTTTTAGCGTGCACAATAGTTGTTGCCAAATTATCGTACGAAAATGACAATGAGTTCAAGAGCAAGATGGCTTTATCCTCTTCCTCGATCTTTACTCCGAGGTTGGCAAGCTGCGTGATTAGTCCATTAAACACATTTAAATGTAACAAAAAAATTGTACTTTTACCTATATGTAGGGCGTATAATTGCTTCTTCAGATACAATTTATTTGTCAGCATTTTGGACATGTATACACTTCCTAACCTTGTCCAAATGTCACATGCAGTGTCTTCATAAATGATGTTATTTACCACATCATCTAATAAGTGCAACCTGATTGCACTGGCAGCCTTTTCATCCAAGCCAGCCCAATCCTCAGCTTTCATGGTATCAGGATTCTTGGCATCACTATCTTAATACCTTGTGTAATCCTTGTTGAGTGAGCATATCTCTCATCCTTCTTTGCCATGTTGAGAAACCGCTATCTCCGTTGAATTTTACTACTTCGTACTTTACTCCGGACATTTTATTATTTCACCGAGTATAGTACTACCGACCATGAAGAGTGTTTTTGTGAACAAGTAGAACGTGTGCTCTAATACCAATTGTTGGGAATAAACCCCCCCACAGAAACTAATATTCACAGTAATAACAGCGAAATAATAGCGTCGCACCGAGATACGATAATCAACGGCAATAATAAGAGAAACAAGAACACCGAGATTTTTACGTGGAAAACCTTTCTGAATATCGGAAAAACCACGGCCCGAGAGGAACTACGGCCCGAGAGGAGCAACTGATATCTGTATAGCATGGAATTTTACACTTTGTAGGCCCGAGTAAGATACTCCAAAAAGCACTACAACACTCAAAAGAAATTACTCTTTTTTGATATTCCCACCTTATTAAAATATCGCCCACACTCTATTTTTTCAGCAGACTATTTTCTTATACCCTGTCTGTGATGTCTCGCTCTTTCTTTCTCTCTTTGTTGGTGTGTTTAACAAATGCTCAGGAGCTCTCTATTTATAGAGATTCGATACTCCTGCATATGTCATCAGTGACACCAAATGAAAGATAGAAACTTCCAACTTTTCAATGTGAAAAAAAATCAAAACGTCGGCTGCCAAATATATAAAAGCTGCGGACATTAGAAGTCTTTGTCAAAGGAAGAAAAACATCTTCCTTAAATCATGGACCATGGGATGGATCCATCATCTATAACATCCGACTTTTTGGTTTTGCTAGGAACCTATACTTGTCCTCTATTATGCATCAGAGAACCAACTAGTTAATCAATCATCTTATCAGTAATGTAACACATATGATGGATAAAAATTAGGACCCGCAGAATTAGTCAACCGCATTGAAACAGGCAGGTTTGCTGGTAAAACCTCTCAACAAAGGATCTGTTTTACTGGTTTGTCTAGAAAATAGAAATACAACAACTGCGCTTCAGTCCCAAACAAGTTGGGATCGGTGATATAATCCTCATTCCTTTCATTTAGCTCAACTCATATCATCAGAAAATACTAAAATTTAAACTAGTCAATTATGTCCATCACTTTAGCACACATCACAAAGTAGCTAATGATCAGCAGTGCAATGATTTCAGGTAGCTTTCTGTCAGATAGTCTGTCAGATAGTTAAGCACAAATATTATTGAGCATAAATGGTGAACGTGATATATTCGCACGTTCGGTAAATATAGTTGTGTTCACTCATGAATAGTTGCCAATAAAATAGTTCAGGTGTACACATTAGCTTTCACACATTGTCTTAATCTCTTTTCATTGTTTCTCTTATTTCAAACACGGTATGGGAGTTTCAGCGAGTTTTTTTGAACTAATTATTTTAAAATACTTCATTCCCTAGGATCCTTCTGCATGTCTACAACCATAGCAGTTTCTTCAGTCCGTTCTCGTATTCTTTGGTTACTGCCCTAGAGTGCTATTGATCTGGCTCTGCTGGATTGCTTTGCACCTACACTTACTCCAACATGTGGTGCAGTTAAAGTATTAGCTTAGCTGTCAACTATCCTCCTCCTTCACCTTCCCAACGTGGGAAAACTAAAAACAGAAAAAAGAAAATATAATAGAAGAAGGGTACAGAAAAAGAAAAAGAAAAAATAGAAGGTTACGTTGCTATGATCCCTAAAGCTCAAAGCATAAGTAATATCTGGTCTTCTAGAATCTGAGAACGATGAGAAATCTCACATGGACAATCAAAGTTCATGTAATAGTGTTTTCACCACCCAGATAATCTGGAACAACCCCACTGATGCAATAGTAGAAACCGGGGAAGTTTTATAATCTAAGGTATACTACTTACCAAAATGCACTTCTAGAATCCTTCAACGATATCATTGACAAGTACTCACCAATGTATTTGGAGTAAATCAAATACTCACCAATGTATTTGGAGTAAATCAATGTAATCAGTATTGAGACGTTTCAAGCTTTTTTCCACACTTTCTCGAATATTAGCAGCATCTACTCGCAAAACATTTGCATTTTCACGTATGTAACTTGATCTTTCTGAATAACCACAAACTTTTGTAGCCAAAATCACCTGAAAAGAAAATACAGCAGTGCATTAGTAATCTTGAGTTAAAAGGACACCAATATATTATAGCTATAATGGCTCAAAAAAGGCAGGAAAGGTTCCTCTACTTAAAGAACAGTTTTGGTAGTTATTTTACTAAGAATTGTAACATTTGGTATCATGGTCATGCTAATAACTTTAGTTTTTATTGTCCAAGAGAGTTGGAGGAAATTCTAAGTTGACTGCACAAGTGCTCCACCATGCCATTTGTAGAATATGGAGAGGACATTTGACAGGTGAAAGATCCAGCATGAACATTACAAACATTTTAGTGGGCATCAAGTTCTTAACAACCAAGTCCTTCTAAGTTGAGACTCATGCTTGGACTTGGGCGATTAATTAATAGGGCTGGACTGTGATTTGCTTTTTTTTCCTGCTTGTGTAATGATTTGCCAAATACAAGCATACATGCATATTAAACAAGGAGAACTACACAAGCTTTACGTATTCAAAGTAACTCAAGCAGCAAAAGGCCAAACTCAAATCAGTCCACATGGCAGTGGCAACAATGATGAAGGGTTTCTCTTTCAGAAGCCTTCCTATCCTAGTGGCCTTCAAAAAATTTCTGACGTAAAAACAAAAAAAAAAAAAACTGCAATGTGCTATACATACATTGAGCAAAGACTAAGTGGACCTTTAGTTACCACTCAGAAGAAAATGATAGCATCTGATAGAATGACTAAAAGCATGAAATACCATAATATGCACATAATGTTGGACATTGCTAACTCAAGGAAGTAAATTAAAAGTTCTTTAAAATGGTGGATTACTCTGGGAAGGTTAAAGACAATTACAGATCAAAGTGGACATATTTCTTTAAAAAGGGAAGGATATCTAAAAAGTAATGAAAGAATGCATTATACTATGGCGAATCAGGCAATGCAAGACTCAGTACCCAGCTTTAGTTATTTTAGCTGCTTAGCCTTTTGTGATCTCATTGATTTACAACCTCAAATCAGAACCAGTACCCAAAGATACATTTTTTCCCAATATTCTTTAGTAAGTGAATCAACAGTGAAGTCTTATCGAGGAATTTGGTGAAAGAGATCAAAGGCAGTTAGAGTTCAGAACAAAAGATCTGAAACAACATAAGATTAGAAAACGAGGTAAAAGAAGAATGTAATAAGGTTCTCTACTCAAAACAAGACAAGAAAATGTAAATAACATGCATCTTTGATGTAAAGGGTTCCCTTCCACAATAGTATTATTACCTTATCACGGGGTTGAGACTTCATCCAGCTGCTAATATAGAGATCCGTCGTCCCTTGTGTCTCCTTCCTCATAGGGACTGGATACTTTTGGAGACAAAAAACAAGGTTAGAAATAAATATAACAACCAACGATATGCAACAAGAAATGAGAGAGGAAGGAAAAGAAAAAATTGCACTAATCAAGAATCTTTTGCGTAAAATTAAGAGAAATGATCTCATTGCTGAATCAATTTCCAACAAAACAAAGTTTACTTCAGATTACATCGGCAACAATGCAGAACTAGAGCTTCAAGAAATAATCTATCAAGATACTGAAAACCAAGAATGGAAACTGTATCATAAATAAAAGCAGCTTTCATAAATTAAAACAAGTAAAAAGCAAAAGTTTTATGCTAAAAGTGAATCTGATCAAGTATGCTATGCACCAAAGAAAAGCCAGCTCCAACTAAGTCAGAATGCTTCCAAAGGATATCCGTCGACCGAAGCATCCATTTATTTAAGTTGAAAGAAATAAAAGATTAAAGGGAGCAAAAGAAAAACCAATAATGCTTTAAGTTTGTGCAACTGAAACTGTAACTAAAGAGAGCCAAAAATAGAACTAACAATGCTTAAGTTTGTGCATGGAGCTTACAGCTTCAGCAGTATCAATAATATTAATTCCTTGGTCAAATGCGTAACTAAGTATTTCATGAGCCTCCTTTTCTGTATTCTGTTCTCCAAATGTCATCTGCAACATTTAATTCACCAATGAGTTCAGATTAATGAATCTTCAATTACTTCATAAATACGCAAATGAGTAGAAACATGGGGGAAAAAAGGCTAAAATGACCTTTCTTTTTAAATAGGGTTCAAAAAAAGAAATTGAAAACTTGAAAATTTCTGTAATTAACTGATAAAAGAAGTATTTACAGTGCCAATAGTAATTTCGCTGATATGAAGATTAGAGTCACCGAGTTTTCTGTACTGCATAGCATTCTTCGGAGCAAGTTTTGCAGTAACAACTCTGCTATAAGTCTTCTTCCTTGCTGAAGACAAAGGGGATGCTCTCAATTGGAGCGTGAAAGTGCGGCAAGGGGAAATGCGAGTGGTGGTGTTAGAGATAAACGCCGGCATTACAGAGGAAGTGCTGCTGCACGAAGCCATGGGTTCTTGCTCTGTGTTTTAGCCTTATCAAAATTCAGAAAAACTATTTGAAAATTGAAACTCTGCCTCAGAAAAAACTATCCGGTTTTGCGAAAGAGGGAGTATCCAAAAGTAACCAAGATGAGATTTTCGCCGAGCTATACTATGCGAAAAGAAACCAATGAAATGATTTTCAATCCATTTAATTAGTTGTATTGAACCTTGACTGGTTTAAGAAATAAATGAGAACTTTTGTAATTTGTGATACTAAATAAGTTGTTTGAATTTTTTGGAACGAACAAAAAAGTAAATAGATTCACGAAGCAGATGGCAGTACAAACTAAAATTTTGATGTGTTGCTAAATTACACAAATAATTTAATTCATTTTAGAGTCTCAGAAATTTACACAGACATAAGCCTATAAACGTGGATCACTCAAGTGCAAGAATATCTCAAGTTCATTAGATGCGGCCGTACGTCATCGTTTTGCTCAATCAAAGATAAAAAGAAGGCACGCTCTACGCACGGCGTACTTCAGCTGCTACCCCTTTTTACCGGAAACGACGACGTTTGACTGCTTGTCGTGCTGATAAAATCTCTATCATCTCCAATTTCAGTCCACTGGCAACTCCCAGATCATAGCTTACTCGCTCGTCTCTCTTCACTCTCTCGAAAAATTCAAATCTCCTACAATGGCGAAAGATCCAGTTCGTGTTCTCGTTACCGGTGCTGCAGGTACTCTTATCTGTTGTGTATGCTTCAAAAGGCTTTCATTTTTTAATTATTTAGATCTGCTTCTCCATTTTTACATTTGCTTTATTTCCACTACTAGTTTGATTGATCTTATACTTGGCATAATTGAATCATTGATCTGCTTCCGTTTTGGATTTTAATCCTGATTTTGTTTACTACAGTTTATTTTGTTGATTAATCTACTTAATGTTAGTCGATCATGCATCTGGCTTCTTAATATAATGAAATAAAGTCTGGAGTATGTTAAATAGATAAGTAGGTTAATAGAAAGAATTTGAGGGCGTGTTAAAGACATAATTAATTGCACATGGAAGTGTTCTTTTTGAAACAGCTTAAACTTACGAGGTGGTTGATGCAATTCAATTGAAGTATAGTCGGTTCATACTTTCTTGCTTACTCTTGATTTGGTGATTTCGTAGTTGAAGATAACAATCATACAAAGTTATATACAAATCACTACCTCCTTTTTGTATTCAGTCTTAACGGAAGATGATGGCTTGCTGTGCTTTGTTTTATGTCCTAATTGCTAATAGGAAATTTTGTTCCTTTGCTTTTGTTAGCTGTTAGATACATCTTTATGGTCTAATACTTATCAAAGCAAATATTTTGTATAGTCCCTTAATGGACTATCATTGAGTGATCTACTGCATTTCCTTGTGTCTTATAGAGCACTTTTGAAATATGGTCAACTATAAAATATGTGCTGTAGTTTTGTCTGGGTTCATACAAGCTTCTAATGTGTTAGCGAGGCAATTTCTGATGATGTCTTTTGATGGATGTACGGCTGTTCTTATCTCAAACTTAGATGTTTTTAGCTGCACCATGTCATTTATTAGAATTTGCAATGGTTTAAATATTACTAAATCGATGGTGTCATTGTTTTCCAGGACAAATTGGTTATGCCCTTGTTCCCATGATTGCCAGGGGAGTGATGTTGGGTCCCGACCAGCCTGTGATTCTACACATGCTGGATATTCCACCTGCTGCAGAGGCATTGAATGGAGTGAAGATGGAATTAGTGGATGCCGCCTTTCCTCTTCTTAAGGGTTGGTACCTAAGCTCATTTAGCTTCAATGCTTTAATAATGTCACTTTGAAGTGTTTCGTTTTCTGACCAGCCATCTGTAAGTTGTCAAAAACAAATATGGGTTTAAATGATGAGTTTGCCATGTCTCTGTCAGGTGTTGTTGCAACAACTGATGCTGTTGAAGCATGCACTGGTGTCAGTGTTGCCATCATGGTTGGTGGTTTCCCACGAAAAGAGGGAATGGAAAGAAAAGATGTGATGTCAAAGAACGTTTCTATTTACAAGTCTCAGGCTTCTGCTCTTGAGAAGCATGCAGCTTCTAACTGCAAGGTGAGGTGACTGTTTAGGGAATGAATAAAGATTGCACCCTACTCAATGTGTCATATGTATTTTTGTGCAACTTGTAATTTACTTTTTAGTGTTTTTAATGTGCATCCTGAACATGCATGAACCATATTCAGCATTGTGATGCCCATAATATGCAATTTCATTTTATTGTAAAAAGTCTAAGATTTTGCTTTTTGTTTATATTAGGTGTTGGTTGTTGCTAACCCTGCAAATACAAATGCATTGATCTTGAAAGAGTTTGCTCCATCTATTCCTGAGAAGAATATTACCTGCCTCACAAGGTTGGACCACAACAGGGCCCTTGGTCAAATCTCAGAGAGATTGAGTGTTCAAGTAAGTGACGTTAAAAATGTCATCATCTGGGGCAACCACTCGTCAACACAATATCCTGACGTCAACCATGCAACTGTTAAAACACCAACTGGAGAAAAGCCTGTACGTGAACTTGTTGCTGATGATGCATGGTATTCTAAATCTCTGACTGGTTTCTATCATCAAGCAAATGCACTTGACTTGTTTTTTTATATCCCTTTTTCTGTAAAAACTATGAAGTGTCTGTTCTTTTTTAGGTTAAATGCAGAGTTCATAGCTACTGTGCAGCAGAGGGGTGCTGCCATAATCAAGGCTAGGAAGCTTTCTAGTGCCCTTTCTGCTGCTAGTTCTGCTTGTGATCACATACGTGATTGGGTCCTTGGAACTCCAGAGGTAAATCTTCCAACCAGTCACTTGTGGTAGATGAATCAGATTCATTTGATTGCAAATTGAGGTAATGTATATCTCACTGTGAACATTGCAGGGATCATGGGTTTCTATGGGAGTGTACTCTGATGGATCATACAATGTCCCAGCTGGGCTTATATATTCATTCCCAGTTACTTGCAAAAATGGAGAATGGTCAATCGTTCAAGGTTAGCAGCAGATCTAGTTGCGTTCAGTCACTGCTTACCAATCATTTTTACACACATTTTTCATCTGATCACATGCAAGCTTGTTTACATCATAATAAAGTTTTCAAATGAGTATCTCAATTACTGCAATTCCTCAAAAGTAAATTGTTAACTCGTGTTATTGGGGAATTAGGTTTCAAAATTGGGATGGATCGGCGGGCTTATTTATGTGATTCAAATTGATTGTAAATTACCATATTGTAGCACCTATAAGTGCACTACCTTTGGAGAGGCATCATTCGGGAAAATATTTTGGCATGTGATCAGTCATACCCCGAGTATGAGGTGGGCTTCCTTTAACTATGATAAGATAAAGCCACCTTATGCTGACAAAACAGAGAGCCGTTTGGAGATGTAAATATTTTTTCTGAAATTTCTCATTATCCCCTATTAAAGATTCTACACTTAGTCTTATAGATGATCTAAAAATCACTTTAATCTGATAATTGACTTCACTTGCTTTTGAATGAAGAGCTTAATTGTTCCTTTTCAACTTAATTGGCCATTTCTTTACTTATGTCTATGATATGCTATAGTTCCATTTAAGGTTCTTTCTCCTCATGGGGGTCTAAGGAATCTTTTAGTTGTTCCGTGTAATAAGGGTACAATCTTGCAGTGGTACTGATATGCATGTATCTGTTGGATGTCCAAGAGGTCTAAGTAGCTTCTGTGCTTTTCATCCAGGTCTCTCAATTGATGAGTTCTCAAGAAAGAAGTTGGACTTGACGGCGGAGGAACTCACAGAGGAAAAAGCTTTGGCATACTCGTGCCTTTCCTGAACTTTTTAACATTCCGGAAGTAGGTCATAATCATATGACTAAGTGGTGGTAGAAGTGGCTTCAGTTTTGAATAATGCCATTGTTGAACCTTGAGGGAAGTAATGATGGAGATACTTCAGTTACTTATTATGTACTTTATTATATGCTGATACTCGAAATTAAACTGTTCTCCCTCGTGAGCAATACCATTTTGTCGGACATATTTTTGGACCTCTTGGTCATTAACGAGTTCTGTTCTTGTTGGACATATTTTTGGACCTTGGTCATTAATGAGTTCTGTTCATAAACACCCTCAATAATCTCAGCTCTCAATAAAGGCTCCCAATAAAGGTCTGTGTACATCTAACCTTCCCAGACCGCTCTGTTGTTGATTAAGTTTTGGAACTCGTAAGTAAATCTGATGAGACAAAGATAAGGTCTCTCGAGACCTGATTAATATTGACTGACCTGTAAGATTGCTCGCTCTTTTAGCATTAGAAGAGGAACTAACCACTTATGAGTGCTTGTAGGATATCAGTATCAACGCACGTTTACTAGTGTGAGGCACCCATTCCCCATCCATCATAAACATAGCACTAGAGCTGGTTATTAGGAAATTCAGTTTTTCAGAATATGAAATATTTGAGCCAAAACGGGGTTTGGGGAGGTGATGTATGCTCCTACCCTAAAAACGGGGTGCACTTAAGTTCAAAGCCAAAACCTTTATATATATATATACTCCTAAAACTTATGTCAAGCTCATAACTTGCTCGCTTCACCGAAGAATTTGAGTGGACCAACCAGAGTTGCCTATTCCAAGTCCAATAATAGGCCAGAGCGGTTCATCTAATGATAATTATCTCAAAATTTTGGTTAACAGGATAAGGATTTAATTCTAGTACAAATTTTGAGATTTCATGTTTGGTTGTGGGTATTAGCTAATACTGTATGGGTTAAAATTAGATCAGAGAAATTCGGCACGCAGAGATATGAGGTCGAAGTCAGACAGGCCGAGGTCGGACAGGCCTGTCACACCTCCTTTTTCCGGCACCGCGAGGTGCGTAGGGAGTTTTTTCCAATTAAAGGA